CACGTTGATAAAGCTATAACACCCAATGTCTACTACACGTTGATAAAGCTATAGCACCCAATGTCTACTACACGTTGATAAAGCTATAGCACCCAATGTCTACTACATGTTGATAAAGCTATAGCCCCAATATCTACTACATGTTGATAAAGCTATAGCCCACAATGTCTACTATATGTTGATAAAGCTATAGCACCCAATGTCTAGTACATGTTGAAAAAGCTATAACACCCAATGTCTACTACACGTTGATAAAGCTATAGCCCCCAATGTCTACTACCATGTTGATAAAGCTATAGCACCCAATGTCTACTACATGTTGATAAAGCTATAACACCCAATGTCTACTACATGTTGATAAAGCTATGACACCCAATGTCTACTACATGTTGACATAGCTAAAGCACCCAATATCTACTACATGTTGATAAAGCTACAGCACCCAATGTCTACTACATGTTGATAAAGCTATAGCCCCAATATCTACTACATGTTGATAAAGCTATAGCCCACAATGTCTACTACCATGTTGATAAAGCTATAGCCCACAATGTCTACTACACGTTGATAAAGCTATAGCCCCCCCCCCCCAATGTCTACTACATGTTGATAAAGCTATAACACCCAATGTCTACTACCATGTTGATAAAGCTATAGCTCCCAATGTCTACTACATGTTGATAAAGCCATAGCCCCTAATGTCTACTACATGTTGATAAAGCTATAGCACCCAATGTCTACTACATGTTGATAAAGCTATAACACCCAATGTCTACTACATGTTGATAAAGCTATAACACCCAATGTCTACTACATGTTGATAAAGCTATAACACCCAATGTCTACTACATGTTGATAAAGCTATAGCACCCAATGTCTACTACATGTTGATAAAGCTATAGCACCCAATGTCTACTACATGTTGATAAAGCTATAGCACCCAATGTCTACTACATGTTGATAAAGCTATAGCACCCAATGTCTACTACATGTTGATAAAGCTATAGCACCCAATGTCTACTACATGTTGATAAAGCTATAGCACCCAATGTCTACTACATGTTGATAAAGCTATAGCACCCAATGTCTACTACATGTTGATAAAGCTATAGCACCCAATGTCTACTACATGTTGATAAAGCTAAAGCCCCCAATGTCTACTACATGTTGATAAAGCTAAAGCACCCAATGTCTACTACATGTTGATAAAGCTATAGCCCACAATGTCTACTACCATGTTGATAAAGCTATAGCCCCCAATGTCTACTACCATGTTGATAAAGCTATAGCCCACAATGTCTACTACATGTTGATAAAGCTATAGCTCCCAATGTCTACTACATGTTGATAAAGCTATAGCACCCAATGTCTACTACCTTGTTGATAAAGCTATAGCACCCAATGCCTACTACATGTTGATAAAGCTATAGCCCACAATGTCTACTACCATGTTGATAAAGCTATAGCCCACAATGTCTACTACCATGTTGATAAAGCTATAGCTCCCAATGTCTACTACATGTTGATAAAGCTATAGCACCCAATGTCTACTACCTTGTTGATAAAGCTATAGCACCCAATATCTACTACATGTTGATAAAGCTATAGCCCACAATGTCTACTACATGTTGAGAAAGCTATAGCCCACAATGTCTACTACCATGTTGATAAAGCTATAGCCCCCAATGTCTACTACACGTTGATAAAGCTATAGCTCCCAATGTCTACTACATGTTGATAAAGCTTAAGCCCCCAATGTCTACTACATGTTGATAAAGCTATAGTACCCAATGTCTACTACATGTTGATAAAGCTAAAGCACCCAATGTCTACTACATGTTGATAAAGCTAAAGCACCCAATGTCTACTACATGTTGATAAAGCTATAGCACCCAATGTCTACTACATGTTGATAAAGCTAAAGCACCCAATGTCTACTACCTTGTTGATAAAGCTATAGCACCCAATGCCTACTACATGTTGATAAAGCTATAGCCCACAATGTCTACTACCATGTTGATAAAGCTATAGCCCACAATGTCTACTACCATGTTGATAAAGCTATAGCTCCCAATGTCTACTACATGTTGATAAAGCTATAGCACCCAATGTCTACTACCTTGTTGATAAAGCTATAGCACCCAATATCTACTACATGTTGATAAAGCTATAGCCCACAATGTCTACTACATGTTGATAAAGCTATAGCCCACAATGTCTACTACCATGTTGATAAAGCTATAGCCCCCAATGTCTACTACACGTTGATAAAGCTATAGCTCCCAATGTCTACTACATGTTGATAAAGCTTAAGCCCCCAATGTCTACTACATGTTGATAAAGCTATAGTACCCAATGTCTACTACATGTTGATAAAGCTAAAGCACCCAATGTCTACTACATGTTGATAAAGCTAAAGCACCCAATGTCTACTACATGTTGATAAAGCTATAGCACCCAATGTCTACTACATGTTGATAAAGCTAAAGCACCCAATGTCTACTACCATGTTGATAAAGCTATAGTACCCAATGTCTACTACATGTTGATACTGCTAGTCAATTTTACGCGACCCAACCTTGAATGGGTACTGGTTAGAGTCCTGGGAATTAGAGGCAGTTGCGTTATGCTAACTACATCACCCATCTAGTGCAGATTAGTCTAAAAAAATAAAGGTCTAGCCCTATATGCCCAATACACCTGAAGGTATGGTCAAAGGTCCTTTTCGTTTTACTACGATCGCCAAACGTTCGGCGCTCACTACCTGCATCGTAAAGCGGTGAACTGCTAATTCGTCTTTTGTTCATCACACGTGTAATACCGAATTACGAACCGCGATCGCAACGCTTGATGACGACTATCGGAGAATGGTAACTCTTAATGTGTGATGAAAAAGACGCGTATAGTCTGCAAAAGAGCACGACCTGACTGTTGAAGTCGCAGTACACTACGGCAAAAACTTCAGCCCACCGAAGGGAGAGCATCAAAATAATACATACTTTTTAATTTCGACTATATGAATAGTAGCCCCTCTGAGTGATATGTGGGCCTATAAAGGAAACAAGAGTTCAGCAACACAGGAACCGTTCAGGCAGATAGAAGGAGTCGACTAAGTATTATCATTTTTGGGAACCTATTACATCTATGGCAAACGCTTTATGTGAAATAGACTGACAAAGCCTTTATACTACAGCATTTTCCAAATGTTTTTCTCGACTGCACTTTCTTCATATCCATGCAGAGCCTGAACTTCAGGTTTCCTCGCATATGCCGGGAACCCCAATATAAATCTGACAGTTGAATGGCAGGTTCGGCAATAGTCATCGGGGATCGCTGTGAAAATTGGTCTCCTCAACTGAATCGAATCAACGACCATCAGAGCGCAAGATAAACGGCTTGACCACTTCGCTAGGGAGACGCCCTGTGTTATATGGCTGACTTGGTTTCTGGGATTTGCTCCTGTTTGGTCGCATCCGAACCGAGTTGTGGATCTTTGAATAGCTGTGTGACATCTCTCAGGATGCAGTCTCGGAGAGGGAACGGTAGAATATAATGAAAACTAAAATAAAAACATAAAACATGTTATAAGGATGTTTATATTAATCTTCAAAAAAATTATAGTAACAATAAAAGAAACAGCAGAAACAGCATAGCTATAGTGGTCATTTGGAAGATACTAACTCAGCACGACGAGATGACATGCAGACATTTCTTTTCAAACGTGGCTACTACAGATAGGCTCAAAGTGCTGCAAGCAGAGTCCCATATATGAGTAGCTGCAGATAAGAAACACCTCCTGCATGAAGCCCTGAATAGAGCTACGGGTCACGGACTGAAAAGAGTAGAATCTTGGATGGCGCAAGCTGAATTAGACATGTATGTTGGCTTGACAACATTGGGCGACGACTGGATCAAAGTTTCCCAACAACATGCAGACTTGTGTAGGGTAAAATCCACACTGGGTCTCGAGTGCAAGGAGCCGCCAGTGGGCTTTGCAGAATCACAAGTTCTACAACTACTGATTCATGACAATTGCAAGCAAAGAGTCTGATTATCTATATCATCGAATGCTCTGTGTGGAGAGACAGAAAAAGTGTACATGAGTTCTAAGCAAAATTAAATGAACATCGCTTGGTGTAATATGGCCGCACATATGATACTGCAACATATAGTTTGAGAATGGAGATAGAAGCAGTCACCGCAGTCTTTAGCCACCTAGAAACGGCTGCGCACACATATCATGATTGTAACCTTATTTTTCTTCTTTCGGTCGTTAAAATAAATCATCTATATCGACAATGTTGTTCTCAAGTATGATCTTCACTGTCTCTTGTAATTCAATCAGCGACCCGTGATGTCTGTTGACTGTAACCGATCGAATGCATGTCGAGGAAAGTGTGAGAGAGTAAGATTCAGAGGTTCCATGTAGTTAGCGTACCCATCATATTTTCTCCAGGTTATACAGGTATGTTGGGATACGAACCAACAGATATGCTGTCTTATTCTACATAACTCTGAGGTAAATTGATGCATGACAAGCTAGTTGTTTGAAGGAACCTTCACAAGTGAGTTAACGTTTCAAAGACACAAACACATCATCATAGTATGAAGAGAATGATTCAGCAAGTAATGACCAGGGGATCTGGCCGAAGCTGACCCCATAGGTGGATAAGAATCAGACTGTTACTTGTGTCTTTGGAACTGGAACTGCTAAACCTAGGAACAGAGTGCTTATGGGAATGACTCATTTAACATATGAACATCTTTTGGAAAGCATAAGCAACACATCTAATAAAACAGTCACGATTAATGCGTATCACAATTCAGTTCCAGATTCGCCTAGCATATAATGTCACGAGAAGTACTAGCACACGGCACAAAGTTTACCACATCATCCGTCATTGCTGATTGGTCTATAAAATAATTTGAATCTAGCTGCACATGCTGGTTATCGTAAAACGACGGAAATCAGACGGGACAGCAAACTATCGCGGTTCTAGTCACGAAATGAATTTAGCCATCAATCGCAGAACCAGGTCACTCATCCAATCTGGCAAGTAGGAAAGTGGTATGAACACAAAACGAGCATCTGTTCCAACGACGTATCTGGTGTGTGGGTACCTGGAGACGATAGCGTGCGTGTAGGCGTCGATGACTGGCCTTAAAGACGACGAAGTTGGTGTGGCCGTGGCTGTCAGTGATGTAACTGAAAGCAGACAATTCATCATCTATTAACACTAACTGCATTTATTAACACTCTCTTGCATTAATTACCACTCTCTTGCATTCACCAGCCATGTTCTAGCTATTAATTTTACTCTTTTAGTGCGTTCTGCAGTACATGTTCAATTAGGCGGAATACCACTTTAAAAAATAAGTGCTGTCATTTAAGCAGAAATGACAAATGTACAAGGCAGATTTAAGTAGTGTTCTCTGACAAAATACATAAGGTAAAAGTACACAACACGCAATAGTTGAGATTTACAAGATAGGATTAGCACATCGTAAGTAATGATACCTTTCACGCCTTTAGGCGCATCCAGCATATGGGAAGAGCACCCATATTTTAACAGACGAATCGTCACTGCGTGGGTAATGTGGTCAGTATAACACCGGCCGTCTTTACTTCCCCAGGACATACATCCTGATACCCATTGTTTATGCTGGAATTAGCACACTTTCGGTTTTTTTAAATTGTTTTAAAAGCGTTAATTACTGTTTTACCAATTCAGCTATTATACTAGGTCCCAACAAACTTCAGAGCAGAGCAGCAAGTAATTACTGATTCAGCTAAAACAGCAAAATTGTTTTCCTTTGTGACTGCATGCCAGTCTTCCAGGCTACTCAAAGGGATCCACGAGACAACATAGAAAGAGAACTGACCTGCCAGCTAATCAGACTCTCAGAAAACAATCAGATCGTTCTCCAGTGGATCCCGGCTCACTGCGGCATACCAGGAAACAGTTAGCAGACAGACTTGCTTAAAATGGAACAAAGGAGAAACAACACAACCGTCCATTGTCGTTACCAGAAATAAAAACACTTCTCAGGGGAAAATACAAGGAATTGTGGAGAGAATAAACTAACAGAAAACATCCACAAGACTCCAACAGCAAACTGAACAGAAAGCAATATACAATTTTCCGTCTACGAACAGGTCACTACAGGCTCAACTACCACGTGCATAAAATAAAGACTGTGCAGTCCCCACAGTGTGCCTGTCAAACAGGACCACATACACCTGAGCACATTCTGCAGACCTGCCCACTCTATACATACAACTTTAAAAAGACACCAGGCCTCAAGTGCAAAGCTATGGGGAACCATGAAGGACCTGCTACTGACATGCGAGTTCATAGAGGCAACCCACCTGATGGTCTGATCTGGGCCAACTAAACCGAACGCAAATAAGAAAAAAATACTAGATTTGTTAAAAATAAATCCGATCTAATGCCGGGAACATAATATTGCTCACCTGTAGATCTCCTTTTATATCATATGAAAAAAAAAAACTGTACACTATTGTAAACTAAAAATTGTTCTATTAACTTTTCAGAACATTTAGACGTAGGTTGTGAGAAGAAATGGACTCGAGAACTTGGTAACATCTGTCAATCCTGATAGAGGAAGAGGAAAGCAAAGAGATAAATAGCTGAATGGCTTGGCCGTATAGATGGGACGAGACGGGAACATTGCTATGATCAGTAATTCTGGTGATGCAGTGAGATGGCGAAACATAACAGCCTACGCTTGCCGTCACGGCACATGAGGATGATGTAAAATAGTCTCCTTGCGATTGCCCATACCTGACCCAGCGGCCACTGTTTGAGGAAGAGGTCCCCCTTCCCTTTTTAAATGGGTTGAGGAAGGGGGTAGGGATCAGAAGAGAGAAAATGCCCAGCTTAGCCGCAGTGTTCAGGATAAAGACTTCTAGTAACTCAAAGTGAATCACATTCAATGGCATTTCAGCTTGGAAAAAGGCTAGGATGCAGTAATGGGTCAAGCTAAGGGAATCGTAGGAATGAGTTTCGGCAATAAAATCTTTATCAGACGGAAATTTTGGGCAACTGCATTGAACAATGAAGCCGTTAGAATCTAGTTTGTCACAGCACAGCATAGCATCACAAAATGGGTGGGCGATCGAAATCTTTGGCAATATGTTGATCATGTCCCAGTAATATACCATCCCACAAGGAGAGTTGGGGAAAAGAGAAGCAGTGTTTAAAAACAGTCAGCATGAATTTGACGATACTATCCAGCTGACTTGAGTTCTTTGACTTTAGGAAAGAAAAATGTAGAGTAATTCTTTAGATATTTTCTCCAGGTCACGCCGGTGTGTTGGGAAATTAACAGTAGGATAGACACCACTTGGTGGTGAGCTGATGTATGGCAAGCTGGATCTTGTGAGGGCCTTTTGGGAGCGAGTGAACAGTGCGAAGGAACTAATAGATCATAACGGTCTGAGGAGAGTGGCATTGCGAGGAGTTACAAGGGGATCTGGCCGTCTCTCGACTCTTAGGGGAAGGGCGAGATGGATTTACAATCAGACAGTTGCTGGTATCATCGGAATTTTAACTCTTTGCTTGCTGCTGAAGATGGGGACGGATCGCTTATGGGGGTGTCCGAGTAGCGTGATGTCGATTCTTAATTCAACATTCAGAATCTTGGGTAGTTAGGTAGCTGAGGTTTCAACTTGACTGCAAACGGGACATCTTTATTCCCGTGCTGACTGACTGACTTTCTACCCCACTAGGACATCACACAAGCGATAAACACCCGATGACACAGAGTGCCAGCATGTGGATGAGGATCACTGTGATGAGGTCCCAGAAGCCGCGTTCAGCCATTAGGCCATATTTATGATCGGGCTATACTGCGGCCCCCGACAAGAGCCAGAGTGGGTCTTTGAATAACAAAAAATTTCACCCGAAAAAAGACGGTATTCTGTTAACGATTTCGTATTTGTTCCCGTGCTGTTGAAAATCTCATCAAATGCTCTTCACTTTTCCGTTAGAAAACTAGTGAACAAATAATTATTAAACTTGACAAAATCCAGAATCATACACATTCTGTATAATCAGTCTCTATTTTTCTCACACCTGCATCTTGGTTTCTGGGTCACACCTCTTAGCTCACAGCTCGCACCTGTGACCATCGAGTTGAATAAGATGATTTCAACGTTCCTGCAGTCTAGGATCTCATGTGAGACTTCCAGACGCATTCGTATCTGTTGTTGTTTTCCATCTTCTGTGCTGCACAGGTGGCGCGCACGTTGTGTTGTAGTTTACATCTAGGCTGTGGTATCTGCGCTTTTTGTGTGTGGCGAACACATCTGATTTCATCACTCTTAATTAGTCACCTATTAAAGGGCTGTTTGTTAAGGCCCTGTGGAACTATTTATATTCACCCTAAAAGGATTACCTTGAATCCATTCTCCATAACTCTTCGCCAGGCAGTTTCATCATATACAGTTCAACATACCATTTTTGTGAAAAAATCATAACAGGAAACATCTGGTACGATCAAACGTGGGGCAGTTTTGAGCCACTTGTAAGTGGCTGCAATCCATAATCTTCTATTCAAATAGTGTAAGAGTACTAAGCATTTAAACCAGTTGCCAACAAAAAACAAACAAACAAAAATGAAAAGACTGAAAATGACAGAAACTCTTAATATATGGACCATTAAGTAATAAATAATAGAGACTGTCCAAAAGAAGTTTAAAGGAGGATGGTCACAGCAATACAAAATTAGGAGCATTAGAAGCCTATATTAAACACAAGCAAACAAATTAGAGTAAAAATCTTGAAGCCTTCATTGTCCATGTAGCGACATACTGACTTTGACAACTGCGCCCTTATTAAGGAAGAAGTTGGAAATCGAAAAAAGTAGTCTAACGGCCCTGCCCGGGCAAAATGTAGAGTTAAAAATCTACCCAAAGTATTTCAGGATCCTCGCCGGTGCTACAGAGCCTGTGCACTGTGCTGAGCTTCTCTGGACTCAGACTTGAGTTAAAAGAAGAATGGAGCACTTATAGGTTTCTACCCGGGTGCCATGATGTTGATCCGTTGTTCAAACCTCAAACCTAAGAAAGAAAATGGGAGCTTTAGAGCTGAATTGCTTAAGAAAGGTTTCTAGAATACCATGACACAAAAAGAACATAAATAGTTACATTCTAAAAAATCTGAACAAAGAGGAAAATTGGCTCGTCAAGAGCATCTTGTCAAGGAAACCGTTTCAAAACGTGGCGATGGCTTGGGGGAAAATAATTAATGGCATGGTACCGGGTTAGAAAGGCTAAGGCCAACCAGCAGAGAATATTGCTTATGATATAGAGTTTCTTTTGGCGCCACAACAAGGTGCTGAAAGAGTTAGCTGCCGCTGTGGACCAAACTAGGATGAGGGCCAATGCGAGGGCCAGTCCTACCGCTTCCTTAAGGCTGGGCAGATTTATAAAGATATATTCAACGAAGTCGCATACGCTCCATCGATGCAAGACTGTGCGAGGGACTGGTTACTGGCGGTTGACCTGCCTGGCCATGAAAAGTACCATGAGTTAATCCGAAAGACTGGCCTGCGACCAGACGTAGTTCTTCACTCTGCGGAGAAACGGCAGCTTATCCTGACTGAGCTACCCGTGCCGTATGAGTCGCGATTGGACGAAAGCCATACGTACAAGCTCGAGAAGTATTGTGACTTAGCGGCTGGTCTGATGAGAGATGAAGCGTACACAGTAAGAATCTTCGCCGTCGAGGTAGGCGCAAGAGGTCTCGTTTCCATTTTACTTTAAAATGTGATTAAACAACAGGCTTACGGGGAAATGAACGCCAACGAACACTTAAACAACTGGGCGAGGTTGCCGAGAGGGCATCGAGCTGGCTCTGGACACAACGGAACGTCGTGGGTGACGGGCCTCGATGAGCTGGTGCTGGTGTCTAGTCGAAAAGAATGTCTTATCCCTTAAAGTCCATCGTGTCCGAATTGTCTGCCAGTGTCCCTCTGCCACCTGCCAACAAAGTCCAACATGTGCCCGGTAAACCAAACGTAAGCTTGCTACTTTAATTATGCTACCGCAACGACTTCTTATCTCACAGTACCTTTTGCAAAGTCACCAATTCGTCTTGTCCCTGTCCAATAACATCCGATATTACGTGCAGCAGAAAAAACCAACCCTGAGCCTCATGAACTCAGGTGGGCTCACTCTCTGAAAATGTCTAGGAGCTCGTGGGCCGAAACATTTGTCAACGAGAGGTTACTTCTACTGACGATTGGTAGACTCCTGCTGTACATGCTCCCCTTTGGAGTAATTCTTCTTATCTTATAGGCTGACTGTGGCAAGACGAAGTTCTTTAAAGGGCTTGCTACATGATGATGATGATGAAAACGTAACAATATTCTGTGCCTCTGTTACCAATACTTAAGGCACTCAAGTTGGCAACATTTATCCAAAGAAAGCGGATATGCCAACTCTTGGCTAGGTTTTTTTTTTTCCAAACAAACAACAGATTATTGTTTGTGTACCGATTAGTATAGGGCTATTGGGTTCCAAAGGGCATCACCGTGGTGTAGCGGCTAGACGCTCGGCTGAGGATCGGAAGGTCGTGGGCTCGGGACCTGACTGAGCCGGACTTTTTGTCAAAAAGGACCTTGATATTTTAGGTCGACCTAGCCTTGCATTGATACCAGGTGCAGTGCTGGGAGGTAAAGGCGGCCGAAGAGATGCTGACTACATCAACCACCAAGTGCCGTTTGGTTTATACAATATGCCCAATATGCCCAATACACCTAAATAGGTGAAAAGGTCCTTCACTTACTTTACTTTAACATTTGGTTCCATGAGGAAGCTATTGACTGCCAGCTGTTGAAGTTATGTTGACATAAGGCATATTAATTAGGTCGGCTGGGAACCTTACCGTACACATGTTCTCCTGATCAAGAAAAAGGCATGCTCTCATAAAGAAACCAACAACTTACATTGCTTTAAGTATAGCTCGTATTGTTTTTTAACCTCGGGACTGGCTCGGTCTCTAGCATCTATGATCTCGTCATTCATGGTTTTACCGATTGACGTTGGAAAGCCGCCTGGTTCAATAATTGACACTTTGATTCCTTGGTGGTACACTTCTCTTCTGCAAAATGTAAACAAAGTTAATACAGTGGAACCTCGCTTAACGAGCATAATTCGTTCCAGAATCATACTTGTTAAGCTAAACACTCGTTAAGCGAAACAATTTTTCTCTTATACATTAATGTAAAGTTCGATAATGCGTTCCATCTCGAAAAAAAAAAAAATACTCACAAAATGTTGTGTATAATGTTTATTCAAAGAAAATTATATACATGTTAAGGAGAGTGAATCATATTCATCTTTTCTTCAAACGCGGAACGAACCCACCTGGAATGCGAATTCGATTTGCAGAAAAACAAAAGTCGAAATAATTACGATACATAGCTAATTTTTTTTTTTTTTTTTTTTTGCTAGAAAGATGTCCAGAGACATTTGTTTTTGCCGACGCTTCAAAATTTGGCGAAAATGCGACACAGCATTTTTATTAAATAAATTTGCAGCGCGCACAGCCACGTCTTTTTTTAGGATGATGATTCTCAATGTAAGATGCAACAGTTTCCCATGCTTTCAGCATTCCTTTAAATTGCCAGAAGATTGTTGATTTTCTGTTACCTTCTCCTCCTCCTCTGAAAAACTTTTCTCCAAAACTTCTTGCTGTGAAACAACTCCATAAGCTCGACGGTGGTCAGCTCTTGGCTGTGCTCTTCCACAAGCTCTTCGCTATCACTGTTATCCACCTGCAATCCCATGATAGTGGCCAAAGACACAATCTTGTTGACTACAGGTTCCACAGGTACTGTCTCGAACACCTCAAAGTCACAAATCGACAACGCTGACAGGCCAAAGCTTCTTCCAAGAAGAAGTTAGGGTTCTCTTTGTAACCCTTTCCCTCGCCTTGTCGATCATCTTGAGGCAGGCAACTTTGTGGAAGTAATTTTTCCAAAACTCTTTAACAGTGAGGTTGGTTCCTTCAGTCACCTGAAAACAATGCTCGAAGAGTGCTTTAGTGTAGAGCTTCTTAAAGTTAGAAATAACTTGCTGGTCCATGGGCTGGAGTAACGGAGTGGTGTTGGAAGGCAGAAACTGGATCTTGATGAACAAAATTCTTCAGGGAGGTCATCTTGTAGGCCTGGAGGGTTCATGTACTTATTTCACTATGTAATACAAGTCTGAGAAAATATGTGATCACAAGCGACACTACGATGTTGCTGGAACAAGTGCTAAAAACTCGGATTTTCCCTCTCCTCGCCACTCGTTATGCGAAACGTCGCTCGTTAAGCAAGTTATTCTTTTACAATTAGTTTTGCTCGTTATGCGAATTACTCGTTATGAGAGGTGCTCGTTAAGCGAAGTTCTACAATAGTTAAATGCCTCTTTGTGTCTCTCTGAAGCATCGAGCTTATGGTGATAGGTCTATATTTTTACAAACTAAAATTTGAATGAAGATGTGGTCAAAATGACACCGGCCGCCTTTACTTCTTCTCACAGCCCCTGACATGTAGCGTTGGTAGTGATGGCATATCCATAAACGTCTACCCTGTGTACTTTCAATAAAGTCTGATACAGTTGATCTACCATGATGTCAAACTGTCCAGCTTCTCTCTCTCTCTCTCTCTCTCTCTCTCTCTCTCTCTCTCTCTCTCTCTCTCTCTCTCTCTCTCTCTCTCGCTCTCTCACTCTCTATCTCTTTCAGTATCCTACTGCATTATGTCCCATCGTCATGATATACTCAAATTTTCTCCTTCATATGACATGACCAAACAATGTAGATTGTCTCCTTATGACGTGGACAATCAGTTCTCTTCACGAGTAAGTTTCTTTCAAGACATACACAGTTTAAAAAAAAAAATCTTTTCAGTGTATTCTCGTTCGTCTATAAAACAACATCTCGGCCGCTTTTAAATAATTTTTAACTAATCGCTCAATTGTCCACGATTCACTTCTTTATATCAGAATACGATTTATTTAGCTCTTTACTATATGTGATATTTCTTCGTACCCAGTTTAGGCTAGGTCGACCTGTGAGAAAGATCAGTTATCACAATCCACCTCAATGCGAATTTGAATCAATGACTTTCTCCCCATATGGGCTCTGGGATCCCATTATGAGGAAAACAAGAAAAGACCCATTGCCAGTCCAATAAGCATGCCTTTAGAATCGACTAATGGGGAGCTTCCTTCGAATTTGGAGTTCATCTACCCGAGCGACAAGAAACAGCCATCTGCACACAAATAAGCCAGGAAAACGGATATACATGCAAAACATAGGTCCCAGCACTAGGCAAAAGTCCAGACAGACGAACAAACAGAATTTTTCACCAAGTCGTAAAGCAGGTAAACACAGCAGAAGAAGAAGAAGAATCAGTGACTTTAAAGCCAGTAGGCCGGCGGTGTCCGACAGACAAGAATTTAACATTTCCGCTTCCCCGACTAATTCTGATACTGATGTTATCCGTGCCAGGGGCCAGACCTCAGAGCATCTTTCATGTGGTCTTTCCCTGCCTCCCCAACTGTTCATATATCACGTCAAACTCATGTTTAGTCTCTCCTGTCTATAGAAGACTAAATTACAAGAAGCAAATATTTTACACATAAAATAAAAAAAATATGATTCTGTATTCTGGTGATGGGGCAGGCTGACGTACAACTTAATGGACGCTTTTCTCACGCCCGTGGTGCATCGAGCGTATGATGCTAAACTCATCTTTACATATATACCAGTTGCCGCTTGAAGGGTGACATGGTCAACATCATGCCGATCTTCTTTACTTCCCATGAATACAGGCTTGATGGTAGATGTAAAATCATACAGTAAAACATACAGATAGATATTAAATGGATAAAATGTCTAACCTCAGAACATCTGTCAAGCCTTCTAGTCCAAACTTGGAAGCACAATAGGGCGCACCAAAGCCTGCAAACCGGCCAAAGGCACTTGTAATGTTGACTATTCGTCCTTTTGACTTCCTGACCAGGGGCAGAAATGCCCGAATTGTCTCAGTGGGTCCAAGAAGATTTATGGTCAACACTTTGGTAAAGTCGTCTCTGGTGCACAGCTCCAAAGGACTTAAGTTCCCTAGTACCCCGGCGTTATTCACAAGAGCCCAAATACCTGTGAACCAATTGCATTCTTTATGAATTTGTACAATAACTTAAGACCGGGTTATTAAGCTAGATTTGGCAAATGGAGACCGTCAGTAGTAAAGGCATTACACCTTTACTACTACCTTTACTGCCACACAGCATAGAAAGAGCATTCATACTATACAATTTACATGTGACCCTGGGCCGCTCGCTTGGTTTCTGCTGGCCAAATTTGTCCCACTGGCTGCAAGTTGAATCGCCCTAGCCTTAAAGTATAAACGTTCTTTCGTTCTTCTTCTCCCCCTTTCCATCCTCCTCTCTTCCTTCATCATAATCATCACCATCACTATAATCATCACCACACCACCAACCATGCTTGTTATAACTTCCCCAAGTTTCTGCCAAGCCCACTCCCCCTTCCCCGAATGAGTGTCTCCAGGCATTAAAAAAAAGTTCCCTTTTCACGCCTTTCGGCGCATCGGGCATATGGGCAGAGCGTCCCATATTTTTATAGACCATCAGCACTCGGTGGGTAATGTAGTCCGCATTACGCCGGCTGTCTTTACTTTCCCAGGACAGCCCATCCTTGTACCCATTTTAGGCTGGGTCGACCTGCGACGTCCCATACCACGACACAAATCCACGCAGCCTGCCGTTGGTTTTGATAGCGGTATGCTGGCTTACGAGTCGGACTCGCAACGCCTTAGCCACGGACGCCGCTGTCTCCAGGCATGGATGCTCAGTTATGTTGCCCCGTTCCATTGATCTCACACAGCCTTCACCACGTCCGCTTAATCATAAAGTAGTCGATCTATCAGGCTGCTCATTATCCCGCGCCCAAATATCATGGGCAGAAAATAGATGTTATGTTCCTGATCTGAGAAAGCGTGTTAACTCTTTGAGTCCCAGTGGGTTTAGCCTCACAGGCCCAGTAAAGAAAGTAATAAATCGTCGCATTATGCGTTCATTGGGCTTCTATGTAAGAACCTATGAGCGTATGATCCGTTTCTTGGGACACAAAGAGTTAATTAGCCTTTAAACCGTAAAGCTCCAGGTGTGAGTTCCGGCGCCCAAGTGCACTATAAACAAGAATAGATCTGCTGCCTCCCCAACAAGCATGTCGTAGAAGTCGACTAACTGGGGGGGGGGGGGGGGAATCATACTTCAAAGTCGGAGTACATCTGTATTATAACAGGCAAGGAACCAAAAGTCTGCATACAAATAAGGAAGGTCTGTGAACGGATGGGCACGCAACAGTAAAGTTCAGGAGGTGGACGAACACCTAGAACTCCCCCTCCCCCCGGATCTACAGCTGGTGAATGCGAAGAAGAAGAAGAAACCACAAAGCCGCATAACAGGGACATAGCATTTTCTCCTTTGTTTGTTTGTTTTTGTTTACACCTAAAATAGTGACAAACACGATGTGTTGAAGTTTACAGCTAGGTCGCCATATCTATGCATGTTAAAAAGTTAGTTGCGTATTCTTTACTGGACGTTGCAGAACCAACCATAGCATTATTTGGATGTTTTAGGTTTTTTAGGAAAATTTACGTCCACTAGTTTGCAATTGTTTTCTGGACAGCTGGAGTAGCCGTTACGGCTGCGCTATTTTCTAATTTTTTTAAAGGTTGAACAGGATATTTAGGATCTGTCTCGTTGGTCCCTATCTAAGCGTGCCAGACGCAGAGACAAAATATTGTAGGCGGAAGGAGTAGCGCCCAGTCTAAGGCGTAGCAAGGCTCAGTTGGTACTTGATACGGTGCATTTCATGCCACCCTTACACGCATCTCTGAGGTTCCACTTTATAAAATGCCATAAGTTACGTACCATATGTGTTTTCGTAACCTTATCATCATAATTATAACTTCACTCTAAACTTAGGTGCTCATTTCTCTAGCTGAAGCATTTCGTTACTACCATACCATCACTGTTTAATAATAATATAAATGACAAACGTCATCTAAATGATTGCTATGTTAATAAATCAATATATATATATATGATCTTATCCTGCATCCGTTTTTGTAATTCCAAGTGTGTCTGTTCTTACATGTTTAATCAAACTGTTAAGATAGAATAGCGTTTGGTGGGTGCTCATTAATAATAATAACACTTTACCAGGAGGAGGTAGTTGGTAGGGGTCACCTGAACTGAACTGAATTTCTACCCCACCAGGACATCACACAAGCGATAAACACCCGATGACACAAAGTGCCACCATGCGGATGAGGATCGACGTGGAGAGGTCCCAGAAACCGCGTTCAGACATTTGGCCATATATATGGCCTGCCTATATTGCGGCCCCTGGCAAAAGCCAGAGTAAGGCTTCAAATGACAAAAAATTTCGTCCTAAAAAGGACGAAATTGATATAATATTAACCTGCACTCTCTAAACATTCAATATTTATGGTAATGTATGAATATATCCTCAATGGGTACCAATGGCAGCTACTGATAATTTACTTAACGAGCCAATGTGGCTGTTTTCTTGAATATCCAGGATTTCTTGATCGGCATAGCTCGGATATTCGTTCAGTTGCTCTGGTGGAGGTGAAGTGTTGAGAGGACAACGCTTAAACATCACGATAGCATCTATATTCACCCCGATTCGTGACAGTGTTGTCACCCCTCAGTATTGTCACCCCTCAGTGTTGTCACCCCTCAGAGTTGTCACCCCTCAGTATTGTCACCCCTCAGTGTTGTCACCCCTCAGTATTGTCACCCCTCAGTATTGTCAGCCCTCAGTGTTGTCACCCCTCAGAGTTGTCACCCCTCAGTATTGTCACCCCTCAGTATTGTCAGCCCTCAGTATCGTCACCCCTCAGTGCTGTCACCCCTCAGTGCTGTCACCCCTCAGTATTGTCACCCCTCAGTATTGTCACCCCTCAGTATTGTCACCCCTCAGTATTGTCACCCCTCAGTATTGTCACCCCTCAGTATTGTCACCTCTGAGTGTTGTCACCCCTCAGTGTTGTCACCCCTCAGTGTTGTCACCCCTCAGTGTTGTCACACCTCAGTATTGTCACCCCTCAGTGTTGTCACCCCTCAGAGTTGTCACCCTTCAGTATTCTCATCCACTCAGTACTGTCACCCCCCAGAAGCCCCCGTCACTGCTTTCAGACCCTTTAATTTTCTAAAAATGGGGAAGGGTGGGCGGGGGGTTTCCCATAACCATGCATATATGTTCTAAGCAACTGTGTACACGTTTTGTAATATTTCAAATATATTAATATATTTGTATTTCATCAAATAATAAAAATAAAAATAAATATTATTCTTATTATTATTATTATTATTTGTACTATTATTATGCAAACAAGACTTTAGACCACACTCATCCACCCCAAGTGAATTATGGAGAGTGGGGTGAGTGTGAGCTTTCCTCCCACCACCTGGCCTATAATAAATTTGTGCCGTCGCCCTTGCTTTAAGGAACATATCTTCGGGATATAACGAGTTAAGGGGAACGCCTGAAAAACCGTTGTTGAATTTGTACTTCAGTTATAAACGATTCACGTGTTTGCTTCATTTATGTAATTGTTACTGTAGTATGCACCTGACGAAATGTGCCATGCAATAAAATTGTGAAATTTATTGTTTGTGTCTTCTTTGTGAAAACTTACAACGGAAAAACACTGCTTTGAGCAACTGAAAGAGTTAAAGGCAAGCGTCGAAACAATACACGAGCACGTGTGATTAAACCAGTACTGTACCTTTCTCTTTGGGCAGTCTTTGTTGTGTAAGCCTTAGGGCCTCCTGGACACTCTCAGGTTTGGTTATATCCAAGGGAACAGTTGTCAACCTGGAGGAAGCGGCAGCAGAGAGCGACTGAGCACCATCTTTTGTCAGACATCCAGCAAACACATTAAAGCCCAGGCTATCCAGGTGACTGGTTAGATAGAAAGATGAGAATTGACATAAAAGAAAAATAAGTTAGTTGCCTGTCATTTACTGGGTCTATTTAATGCAGTAAATTCATTGTACTCTGCTGTTATTGTGTCCGGCGATAAATGAATGCTATACACATTGAGTTGTGTCTCTGTTTATCTTTTTCTTTATCTCCGGTAACTTTTCTAATCACAGTTTCTGTAAAAAAAATTCTGAATATCTAGTATTTTAAGGCAACGAGGGTGCAGTATATCTGGCCGATACTGCGGTTGCAATAATTGGTCTGATCTGGTACTGGACAAAGACAACGTCGCCAGTGTCTTGTGTGTCACATATCGCCAAGACGAAGACAACAACGTGCATGATTTCACATCCCTGTCCAAGCTGATGGAGATGGGGGTGCAACCTGGAGCTGTCAGACATTAGACTAATGGGCACCGAGGTTCTTGCGTTATCAATCGTTTTTACGCTTGTGGGATTACTACCCTATAATAGAATTAATAGAAAGATCTCTTGTTTGACCGGTTGGCATTCCAAATGTGTCAGGGCGCCAAAAGGCTGTTAATAATTTTGGTTTGGCTGCAATCGCTGACTAAAAATCTGGCATGCTGGAACTTCATGAAGGTGAGCGCGAGAAGATGTCTTTAGCTTTCCGCCCTCTAATTTCCCTAACCGCGCTAGGGACATCTCGTCTTACCCATCGCCGTTGCGCAGTCGTTCATGGCCGTAAACGCAACGTGGGTTCTGACCGATAGGTGAAGAGAGGTGGACTGGCTCTCTGATTTGACGTTGTTCGTATCTTTCAACAGTTAGTTCCAGTGTTAGATCTAAATTTCCCTCACTAGTTAAACTGTGGTAGATCTAGATATCAGTGTGTATCCTTGCTCAGAGCTATTTTCTTTCATTTGGCTAGAGGCGAACTTTCCACTTTGTTTGCTGAAGTGCTTAGGACATTGGTTGTGTGAACACGAGGTTGATTATTAATGTATTGTTATTTTTGAAGAACGTTAGTTTTGTGTCCAGGAAAAGGACTAGGATTAGGACTCGTAGTTAGTGTGCAAAATTTTACTGTTACTGCTGATTAGACTTTATACAGAATATATCCTATAAGTTCTTAGTCCCGACCTAAAAAAAAAAAACTGCTTGTTACTAAGGCAGCTTGATGTGCGTTTTTGCCTCCACTCACCAAAAAATAATTTGTTGGAGCTTTTTTAGGCCGGGAGTAGAGATACGTTCAGTGAGAAGACGTTTATATCACCCTTTATAGTGTCCTTGACCTTCCTTTAGGCATTATCTCCCTTAGGCTTTGCTTCTAGTACACACACACAAAACAAGCTGTATGAAACAGTGGAAGACAGGTGTCCCATCACAGACTTCACACACAAAACAAGCTGTATGAAACAGTGGAAGACAGGTGTCCCATCACAGACTTCACAGAGGCCTGTGACATGTTCATCTGGAAAAAAATCACCGACAGGGAAAATAAAAAGAAGATTAGTGCAATTTTTACAGAGATTGTAGAGATTGTCGTTGAAGTTAAAATGTTCGTGCTTTGTGTAACGCTCTGAGAAAGAGACCTAGCTGTATAGGATAACCTAGTGCTATGAAGTCGATCCTCTCTACTTTAACTCTACAGGACTTACAAACCAACACCAGATTTTGTTGGCGGTTGTGTAGTTTTAATAATTAATATTAGATTGAGTAGTTGACCATTGCTTTCCGAACAGTACGACGCTCACACGGTTGTCGAAGTCAATACTAAGCTCACTGCTATAAAATCTTCTGCAACAGGCTGAGAAACAGTGTCCAAAATCACTAAGACAAAGAAATGCAAACGAAACAATAACTTTGTGATATACACAAATACAGGCCTGCGGTTATGAATGTAAGAGCGTTCATTTGAAACCCGTTCTAAGTATGAAAATGAAAAAAATACGTTTGGCTGATTTTAAAAAAAAATAATTCTGAATTAATTATGCATAATCGGCTAGTCAATCAAATGTGCTTTGTGATTCAGGCAAGCGGAAAATACGATCCGCCAAAAAAACAAAAATGATTCTGTGCTTACGCTTCATGCACAATTTGGTGCAGCATGTGGGGGAGCTTTATCGTGCAACTGATCACACGATAAAGTAAGCCCCATGTCAGGAAGTTATTGCTAAACGGCTTCAGTGCAGTTTTCTAGTGTTTCTAAACAATGGGTAGAGTTAATGTTGACACCAGGGTCGTTAACGTCAGCCAACAATAGCCCTTTAATGGTAAAAAAAAATGAGGTAAGCATAACCTTTGCACCGAAAACCTGTAGCTTGCATGTTTGCACGTGTGTGTGTGCGTGTGTGTGTGCGCGCGCGTGTGAATGTTTGTCTACTTCACTGCATCCAGTGCAAGCTGTTCGGTTCAAAGTGGTGACAGCCTGATTCATCGCTTGCCACTAGGCGGACGAGAAATGTATCACCCTCTGATCTGTAACTCAGTTATAAGTAATTCAAACACCATCTCATGCGTTTCCACTTTTGTGGTCGGTCAGCATCGTGGTATCTATTATCAGCACACCTTCCGATATACTTATGAATGACCTGTTGACCTGTCCCAACAGAAACATCAAATTAATCTGCTAGTGAACATATCTTTCGACACCGGTTCACCTGTGTTGCTGCATCAATTGGGGCAATGTTCAAGAGGCTCTTGACCCGGTTGTGGATGATCTGTCGTAAACATACTTTCCGAAACATCTGTGCCAAGTTTGTCACTATTATCGTTGATATTTGTTACCATGCCTGGACTGCTTTCTTTGATGAATATTTCAATAAAAGAAACTGAATCCCTGTTCTTTGGGCTTCTTTGGAAGGGGAAGGGAGACGAACGAAAGAACAGCGCGAAATTGATCTACACATGGAGATCTACAGTGAGAGGGATCTACACACACACACAAAATCACACACACTCAGAGAGAGAGAGAGAGAGAGACAGAGAGAGAGAGTTCTAAAGATAGTGAGAGCAACACATAGAGACACTAAGAAAGGAGATAAATCGAGAGAGAGAGAGAGAGAGAGAGAGAGAGGGGGGGGGGAAGAGAACGAACAAACAAATAAACGAACGAAGTAACTTTTTTCCACACACAAAAAACCCCCACAAATTGAGCACGCAGGCCCGTCTCACATGCAGCCCTTCCGAACACCCATCTTTCACATAGCAATTGTATTTTATCCATAAAGCATGTTATGTGCATTTACAAATTTGCACATTATAAATATCCAGAAAAAACACAGAAGAACAGGTAGTAAAATGCATGCGCACACACGCACACACACACACCCCATCACCCACTCACTCCTTTACACATACATACATACATACATACATACATACATACATACATACATACATACATACACACAGACAGACAGCATGACAGACAGACAGACAGACAGACACAAACACACACACACTCACACACCACACTACAGACATACATTACATACAGACATACATACAACATACATACATACATGACTACATAACATACATACATACATAGACATAACATAACATACATAAGTACATACAGACAGACAATACAGACATACATACATACATACATACATACATACATACAGACATACATTACATACATAACATAGATACCAGACATACATACATAACAGACAGACAGACATTACATACATAAGACATACATACATACATACATACAGACATACATACATACATACAGACATACAGCATACATGACAGACAGAACTACAGACATACATGACATTTACATACATACATACATACATACATACATACATACATACATACATTACATACAGACATAACATACATACATACATACATACAGACATCATACATACATACAGACATTACAGGACATATCATACATACATACATACATACAGACATACGGTACATACATACATACATACATACATACATACATACATACAGACATACATACATACATACAGACATACATACACTATACATACATACATACATACAGAATACATAAATACAGACATACATACAGACATACGACATACAGACATACATCCAGACAGACAATACATACAGGACATACATACATACATACATACATACATACATACATACATTACATACATACATACATACATACATACCTACATACATACATACATACAGACATACAGACAGACATACATACATACAACAGACAGACATACATACAGACCTACATACATACATGACAATACAGACATCAACATACATACATACAGACATACATACAGTACATACATCATACATACTACATTACATACATACATGACATACATACAGACATACATGACATACAGACATACATAACATACATACATACATACACCATACAGAAGACATACATACATACATGAATACATAACATACATAACATACAGACATACATACATGACATACAGACATAACATACATACATACATACAGACCTTACAGGGTCAGACAATACATACAGACAAGACCATACATACAGACATACATACATAACATACATACATACATACATACATACATACATACATACATACAGACATACAGACAGACAGACATACATACAGACTACATACAGACAGACTAGAAGAACATACAGACATACATACATGACATACATGACATACAAGACATTTACATACATACATAAGACATACAGACATACATAAATACATGACATACACTACATACATAACAGACATACAGACAGACATACATACATTACATACATACATACAGAACGACAGACATACATACATAAAGACAGACAGACATACATACATACATACCTACATACATACATACATACATACGACATACAGACATGACATACATACATACACCTACATAAAGACATACATACAGACAGACAACATAACATACATGACATACATACATACAGACATACATACAGTACATACATACTTACTAAAGACATACATACATACATACATACATACATACATCATACATACATACATACATACAGACATACATACAATAACAGACATACATACATACATACATACAGACATACATATCATACATACATACATACATAACATACATACATACATACATACCTAAAGACATACGATACAGACATTACAGACATACAGACATACATAACAGACATACATACATACATACATTACATACATACATAAATAATACATACATACTATACATACATACAGACATACATACATACATACAGACATACAGACATACATACATACATACATACATACATACATACATAACATACATACATACATACATACAAATACATACATACATACATAAAACAATACATACATACATACATACAGACATACATACAGTACATACATACATACATACATACATACATACATACATACATACATACATACATACATACATACATACATACATACATACATACATACATACATACATACATACATACATACATACATACATACATACATACATACATACATACATACATACATACACACATACAGACACACACGCAGACACACACAGTCACTCTCACAGACACACACACACACGCAGGCACATAGACACAACACACTGACAGACACACATACGTACACATACATATACATACATACATACTTACACACACCCAGAGACACACACACACAGAGGCCTATACACGGGTATCCAAACATCACACATACATACACACAGGCACAATACATACATACATACACATGCATACACATGCACACACCGACACACACGCAGACACATACACAGACAAGCACAGACAGATATAAACAGACCTACAGACACACTCACAGACTGACACACAGACACAGTCACACAGACTTCTTACAGGCAAACACAGACATAAGGCATAGATGCATACATACACACACATGTACACAGACACACACACACACACACATATATATATATATATATATATATATATATATATATATATATACATACATATATATATATATATATATATATATATATACATATATATATATATATATATATATATATATGTGTGTGTATATATATATATACACATACATTACATATATATATATATATATATATATATATATATATATATGTATGTTATATACATACATACATACATACATACATACATATATGTATATATATATATATATATATATATATATATATATATATATATATATATATATATATATAGAGAGAGAGAGAGAGAGAGAGAGAGAGAGAGAGAGAGACATACACAGACACACATACTGACACGCATAAACTCGCACAGGAACACACAAAGACACACGCACATAGACACACGCACATAGACACACGCACACACACGCCCACACAGACACATGCATACACAGAAACACACGCACTCAAGCACACAATACTTTAATGCATGCATGCAAGGGGGGAGAGAGAGAGGGAGGGAGAGAGAGAGAGAGAGAGAGATGAGAGAGAGAGAGAGAGAGAGAGAGAGGGAGGGAGAGAGAGAGAGAGAGAGATGTGAGAGAGAGAGAGACTGCCAGTGCTTATTATATGCCAACTTACATCGCTAGCTCCCTCCCAAATCCCGTATCACAACCAGTTATAAAGATATACTTCTCGGTATAACCGTCAATTTTCAAAGAATGTAGAAATCGACACACGAAATAACACGCAGGAACAACTAATACTATCACCGTAAGAAACATCATCGAGAAGTATTTAGTATGTCCGTTCAAAGTTACACTGAGCCAGCAACATTGCCTGCTTTATAAAGTACACACTATTTCAGTTTTGTTTTACGCCAGCTGTGATGATATTTTTCATCGGGGATTCCCAAATTGTTTCTTAAAAATGCTTGGTGATTAGTGTCCAAATGTGGGCTCCGGGGCCCTATTTTTGGGGGTGAGGGAAATGTAGACCTACAGCCTTCCCAGCATGCATGTCATAAAATTGACTAATTATTGGCGTATACTTCGAAATGGGAGTGCATGTGTCTGAGAGGCGAGCAACCAATAGCCTGCATACAAAAAAAGCGAAACTTTAAAACATATTCAGGTAAATCTCAAAGTCTGAAACCAGAGCAAAATCCTGAAGTGAACGAACTACCAAAACGTTTAGCCAGAATTTACAGCCGGTGAGTGCTAAAATAGAAGACCTTATCCAGACTGATCCATAGATGCTTCAATATCTGTCTCAACAGCTTCACAAGTGTAAAACGACTTATCACGCCTGTTCCCTGTTGGTTAATTAAACCTCGTGTGCTCGTGTTAAAATGTTTATGTCTGACAACTCCAGGTTGCATCCGCATTCCCACCGGCCTGGACAGGAATATGGAAGCGTGTATGTTGTCGTATTTCGTCTTCGCGATATGTGTTGTACAAGACACTAAAGATGTCACTTTTGTCCAGTACCGGACTGGACTAGTTACAACAACAGCACTGTCTGTCGGATAATCTGCATGCTCGTTGTCTCAAAATACTTGAAATATTTGGAATTTGAACTTCTAGCCGGCTGCTGAAGGTGCGGACGGAACGCTTATCAGTGTGTCTCAAGTGCTGTTTTGTCGGTTCTTAAACTCAGCTGAAATCAGCTTAACACAGACACAAATTGTACCCAGTTTATGATGAGAAAGCTGAGCAAGAGAAAGGAAAAGATTCACACAAATGCAACGGATCGTGTCAATGAGTCTTTATCGACGGACACAATAACAGAATCACAAACAGATGGGCATCTATAGGTTACTTCTTAATACCAAATTGGGAGCCGTTGTGATGTAGAATATAGACACCCACCTAGGGATTCAAAGTTCCTGAGTTCCATTAAGCATGTAGCCGGATCTTTATTTTATTTTTAGACATGACTCTGGCCCCCATGTCGACCCAACCTGAATTAAATGGGCAACATGCAAAGGGACCTTTACTTTACTAACAACTTTATTGCAACCCAAAAGTAGGAAAACAGTAGGATAATTGGAAGGGAGAAGAGGCAGAGGAAGGCATAGAGGAAATATGCTGAACAGTTTGACATCACGGCATGGAGGATCATCTGTTTCAGAGTTGAGTGAAAGTACACGAAATAGAAGGTTGTGGATGGACAAGAAAACCAACACCACAAGCATGGACTTTAGGAAGTAGAAGCAGAATACAGTCACTTCTGTTTTAGAAATTGACTTGACATTTAATGTGCCGCCCATCGTTGCCGTCGCTCGATGTACTGTACAATGCCGCCCATGGTTGCCGTCGCTTGAAGTACATACAATGCCGCCCATCGTTGCAGTCGCTCAAAGTACTGTACAATGCCGCCCATTGTTGTCCTCGGTTGAAGTACTGTAAACTTTTTCTTGCAACGAAGCGATTTCATCACTTGGAGACTGGAGGTTTAAGTGGCGATATGAAGATACCACCATCCACCCAGTACTTCCCAGGGTTGGTGCCTATTTTATTTTTCTTTGCTATGGTTTTCACCCTTTCTATTTATAAATAGCGACATTTCTTTACTTATTATAATGAAAACTTTTGCAAACATGTCTGCAATGTATAACATCTTTCATTCGGTTTATTTTTTTTTTCAGCACTTTACAGCCATACAGTATTAGTCTCATATAGGATTTTAATAAATTTAACTTTCTCCTGTGCCGTTATAACAGCCGTAACAAGGTTCTTGTATGTGTCGATGTGATTCAGAAGTCAGTTTGGGCACCATTTCTTGATGCCTCTTGTGTTTGTAGTTCCATTTATTTATTGTTTCAAGTTCCACATATCGGACTAGTCTATTTAAATATTCTTTATCTTTCTATTTCTCCACAGATGGCAAATCACCGAGCTGCGAGCACATCATTAAGTTGTTTAACTTCCACATATACCGCTATGGATCCTAATTCTCCTCCTCCTCCTCTTTCTTTTTCTTCTTTTTCTTCCTCCTCCTCTTCTTCTTTTTCCTCCCTATTCTCCTCCTGCTTCTCCTCCTTCTCCTCCTCATTCACACCTATAGGTGCCTTTGACAAGATGGGTTTTGTTATGCCGCTAATTCACGATATCTGCGCCTTTGTCATAACACTACTGCTTTCAGTAAACTCGTAACTAATTGTCTTTTACGACATGCTTGTTTAGGGGCATTGCGCCGCGTCGCCCCCCCCCCCTCCTCCACACTCACACACACAATGAGCTCATCGAACCCCTACTAGGAAAGCTGGAAATATTACTTCCCCGGACACTCCGTCTGCATAGGGGCTCTATGCTGATCTGTGTACTAAAGTGACTTGCTGTCAATTAAAAAAATATATTATGCTTAAATAAACTATACAATATAAAACGAAATTATACCCCCACGCCAGCTCCCCCCCCCCCCCCCCCCCCAAACCAGTTTTGTTCAAGTGCCAATAAAATAAATATAAGTTTAATATTATCGATCATTTACATTTCACTTCTGTAAGTGGTTGTCGTGACAGCCTCAGCACACTGGTTTTCCTAGGGACCTATAATGCTAATAAGACGGCCATGGGTGTTTGTGCTGTGTGCGATGCTCTCGGCAGGCGGCTAGCTGTTCTGCGGAAAGAGACCGAACCATAAGGGAGAAAATCTAATAAAGTAGATTGTATTGGCTGTAACCTTTAACTTTAACTTAGCTGTTGCACCGGCTGTTAGAATTAAACCTTCCATTTGATTTTCTGTTACATTAAAACCATTATTTCTTATAACCGCATTTCATTTTCGTCTAAGCTATTATAAATTGAAATAACAAATCGTAACCAAGAAATTCAGACGGTTTGTAACCTTGAAACAGTGTAGTGTTATCAGGAATTGTGCGGAAAACATCTACAACAGCTATATGTTGTTATGTTGTACAGAAGTTGGTAAACAGACAGTCAGTGTGGCAGATAGTGGTATTTCATAGATAACAGATTTTACTGTATGCAGCACAAACAGAATTGCAAACTAAGAAATAGGTGAGCTGCTAAATACTTTTATCTTGAGGAAGGGGTTACCTATCTAATATTTCCAACTTTCCCAGAAAGGTTTCAATGATCTCAGTGTGTGTGTGGGTGTGTGTGTGTGTGTGTGTGTGTTTAGGGCGGATGGGGTGGGCGAAAAAAAGGGGCTCTGTGCCTTAACAATCATGTCGTAAAAGACATTTAAATAGGAGTTTACTAAAAGCGGTAGTTTAATGAGAAAGGCGCAGATATCGTTAAAAAAAGCTGAATAACAAAACACATCATGTCAAACGCACCTATAAGGGTGAAGGAGGAGGAGAAGGAGGAAGAAAAAGAAAAAGAAAAAGAAAAAGTAAACGAAGACGATGAAGAGGAAGAAGAAGACGAAAAAAAAAGAAGAAGAAGTAGAAGAAGAAGAAGAAGAAGAAGAAGAAGAAGAAGAAGAAGAAGAAGAAGAAGAAGAAGAAGAAGAAGAAGAAGAAGAAGAAGAAGAAGAAGAAGAAGAAGAAGAAGAAGAAGAAGAAGAAGAAGAAAAAGAAGAAAAAGAAGAAAAAGAAGAAGAAGAAGAAGAAGAAGAAGAAGAAGAAGAAGAAGAAGAAGAAGAAGAAGAAGAAGAAGAAGAAGAAGAAGAAGAAGAAGAAGAAGAAGAAGAAGAAGAAGAAGAAGAAGAAGAAGAAGAAGAAGAAGAAGAAGAAGAAGAAGAAGAAGAAGAAGAAGAAGAAGAAGAAGAAGAAGAAGAAGAAGAAGAAGAAGAGGAAGAAGAAGAAGAAGCAGTTTTGTGTTTCGTGTACTTTCACTCAACTCTGATACAGATGATCCTCCATGCGGTGATGTCAAACTGTCCGGCATATTTCCTCTCGGAAATATCGCCAGATCTTCCACTACAGGATCAAGAGCCTTTTTTAACATTGCCCCAATTGATGCAGCAACACAGATGAACTGTTGTCAAAAGATATGTTCGCTAGTAAAAGAATTTGATGTTTCTGTTCGGGCAGTTCATAAGAAACTGCAATATAGAAAGGTGTACTTATAGTAGATACCACGACGTTGACCGACCGCCAAAACTATAAACGCGTGGGATAGTGTTTGAACTAGGGCTGTACCGAATAGTGATTTTCACTATTCGGCCGAATACGAATAGCAGGACCAACTATTCGGCCGAATACGAATACGAATAGTGTATAGTGTATAAAATATATATAAAACACACACACATTCATAATGTCAATTGTACGCTGAATTTTTACTTCACATAAAGTAGCACAGAATAGTCATCTTCTTCCTTAGCATTCTGAGCCCTTGAGGTTTACTGCTGCAGATATCACTTGTCTCCATTCATCTCTCATGAAATTGTAAGAGCAGATATACGTGTGTGTGAGCGCGTAAGAATGTGTACACATGATGTGTGTATGCATTATTCTATATTGTTTATTTCTTCATTATATCCATAACATGCATTTTAAATAACAGGCACTGGCACTCTGAAAAATGAGTGCTTAGAAGGGCCAAATGTCAGACGGGCCTGCGTGCCCAATATGTAACCCTTTGAAAATAAAGTTCGTTCGTTCGTTCGTTCGTTCTCTGGCTGGCCTTATCTTCACAATTTGTGACACCAGATGTTTGCAGGTCTGGCTGGACATTATCTCTCGAATTTCTTTTTTTTTTTTTGTCTGCCTCGTGGTCTACGTCCATTCATCTCTCAGGTGTATACAGTTTTTACTTCTCTGTCATCTGACATTCTTTCAATATGCCCCAACCATTTTAGTCTGTTAGCTCTCA